GCTGTGAGTCATCTGAGGTGCTCCCTGCTGTGAGTTATCTGAGGTGCTCCCTCCTGGGTCATCTGAGATGCTCCCTGCTGTGAGTCATCAGAGGTGCTCCCTGCTGTGAGTCATCTGAGGTGCTCCCTCTTGGGTCATCTGAGATGCTCCCTGCTGTGAGTCATCTGAGGTGCTCCCTGCTGTGAGTCATCTGAGGTGCTCCCTACTGGGTCATCTGAGATGCTCCCTGCTGTGAGTCATCTGAGGTGCTCCCTGCTGTGAGTCATCTGAGGTGCTCCCTGCTGTGAGTCATCTGAGGTGCTCCCTGCTGGGTCATCTGAGGTGCTCCCTGCTGAGTCATCTGAGTTGCTTCCTGCTGTGAGTCATCTGAGGTGCTCCCTGCTGGGTCATCTGAGGTTCTCCCTGCTGGGTCATCTGAGGTGCTCCCTGCTGTGAGTCATCTGAGGTGCTCCCTGCTGGGTCATCTGAGGTTCTCCCTGCTGGGTCATCTGAGGTGCTCCCTGCTGAGTCATCTGAGTTGCTTCCTGCTGTGAGTCATCTGAGGTGCTCCCTGCTGGGTCATCTGAGGTGCTCCCTGCTGGGTCATCTGAGGTTCTCCCTGCTGGGTCATCTGAGGTGCTCCCTGCTGGGTCATCTGAGGTGTTCCCTGCTGGGTCATCTGAGGTATTCCCTGCTGGATCATCTGAGGTTCTCCCTGCTGGGTCATCTGAGGTTCTCCCTGATGGGTCATCTGAGGTATTCCCTGCTGGGTCATCTGAGGTGCTCCCTGCTGGGTCATCTGAGGTGTTCCCTGCTGGGTCATCTGAGGTATTCCCTGCTGGGTCATCTGAGGTGCTCCCTGCTGGGTCATCTGAGGTGTTCCCTGCTGGGTCATCTGAGGTATTCCCTGCTGGGTCATCTGAGGTGTTCCCTGCTGGGTCATCTGAGGTATTCCCTGCTGGGTCATCTGAGGTATTCCCTGCTGGGTCATCTGAGGTGCTCCCTGCTGGGTCATCTGAGGTGTTCCCTGCTGGGTCATCTGAGGTATTCCCTGCTGGGTCATACCATTACCTTTTCCCTCTTCCCTTCTCAGGAGTTGGAGAAGGTAGAGATGGTTGGGGAATGCAGACATTCTTTGGTTTACGATGGTTCAATTTAGGATTATTTGACTACAGTAGCACAAAGGTGATCCATATTCAATAAAAGAGTATACTTCACTATTTTACATTTGAGTCATTTCCTGAGCTGGCAATATGTGGTGCAATGCCCTTTCCCGGTCACTGACCATGAGTGTGACAGTCCATTTCCGACATCGCGCTGTACTACTGAGCCAGGAGGGATGGGTGTTAAGGGTATGCTGCGTATTTTCTATGCAGGGATTCGGCTACCTTGAGTTTATCAGGACATTTATGTCATACAGAGGGGCCTGCGCTGGTTAGTGCTAATTGTCAACTTGACGGAATCCAGCGACGCGGTGGAGACTAGTCTCTGGCCACGCCTGTGGGGGATCATACGAACTGTCAGAAGTTGCTGAGATTCCAGAGGAGGCGAGTGAGATGGGTGCTGGTAGAAGGCGGCCTTTGTGTGTGGCTGGCGAGGAGGGTGGTCATGGAGCCTGGAAAATGTGCTCTTAAAAGCTTGTATCCAGGTAAAGATCCCCTGTGCTCCTCGGGGAAGTTATTAGTGCCTTGTGGCTACTATAACACATTTCCCCAAACTTGATTGCTTCAAGCTGTGAGAGATTAATTCTTTTACAGTTCTGGGTACCAGAGGTCTGAAATCTCAGTGCTGACAAGGCTTTCTGCCCCCTCCCCCCTCCCCCCGCCCCCCAGGCTCCTTCTCTCTCCCAGTTTCTAGTAGATGATAGGGTTCTTCGGTTTGGGGCCCCATCCCTCCAATCTCTGCCTCCTTCGCACGGCCTTCTCTCTTGTGCCGCGGTGTACAAAGCTCCTGATGCCGCTGTCGTAACAGAACACTTGGGAGGAGGGAGAGCCCACTCTCTTGATTCAGGTTAGTCTTGTCATGTCCCTTAACCATGTCTACAGAGTCTCTTTTCCAAAATAAAGTCACATAGATATGACCTAGGGGTTAGCACTTAATATCTTTAGATGGCCATTATTCAGCCAAGGACAAGCAATTAATGAGCTAAATAAATTATCTTAGCAGTAACTGGATGCTATGTTTTATAAAAAAAAAAAAAAAAGTCGTATTTCTGCTACCTTTTAGACTACCATCCAATCATTGTGCTTTGAAGGCTCATTGCCAAAGGGTGTCATTTTTAAGACACTCACACAGAGTCAAGCAGAGGCAGAACTCAGTTGTGGCTTTTCAGCATCCTCCCATCCCCCCAAAGGTAGACCTGTCTGTCTATGAAATAGATATACACATTTGTACGTGCGTATATGTGTGTGCATAAAGGTGCACATGTATGTATGGGTGCCCATATGTGTGTGCACATCTGCGTGGAGACCACCAGTCAGCTGTGGCTGTCATTCTTTAGATGCTGTCCCCTTTGTGGGTTCTGGGGATTAACTCAGGTCCTCAATTTGCAAGGCAAGTACTTTACGGATTAAGCCACCTCTCCAGTCCCAGAAATACATATACCTACAGACAGACAGACAAGACAGACAGACAGACACATACATATACAGACACACACACACACACACACACACACACACACACACACACACACACACACACACGGGCCAGGAATAAGTACACTCTATAAAGCTGTGAGGTTAGCATCTGGAATGAGTTTTGGACAAAGCACAGCCAGGGTGTAACTTTAGCTGGACCATAAGCCCTGACCTGGGAGGTTAGGGTGGGATGGAAGGTGACCTGCTCTGAGAGAGAAGCTGAGCATGGCTCCACCAGCCTGTCTGTCCCCTTGCTGACTGCCCTGTGTCCTTGGTTTGCTCTCCATATCTTTGGGTTAAGGGTTTGAAATTCCCTGTTAGGAGGAAGGTGGTTCTCAGGGAGCCATAGTAGACTCAGTGTTCACGCTCTCTTCAGTCATCTCGTTGGCCAGTGGCCTCTTGGCCACCACTGTTTATAATGTACTGTGAGGTGCAGAGGGGACAGGCCCTTCATTAGCAATGAGTATCTTACCATCAGACAGAAGCTCAGTGTGCAGAGATATGGAGGAGGTTCTAGCCATCTTGAGTTGGCCTGTTAGGGTGTAGGGTCACAAGGGGACAAGGAGGATGGCAGATGTACTTAGAATAGCGTAGACATGTCTCAGAGGGTTGAGGGGACCACACGCTGGAGACAGGCTGCACCCTGGGTGGTTCACGGTGGGACTGATGAGAAAATGTGCAGATGCCTCTGCATGCAGCAGTGAATGAGCCCCAAGGCACTTCATCCAGAAGCCAGGGACAGCCCCCTCCATCCAGCTTCTAGCTGAAGTGTAGACTGAATTCAGGGGAGACCTGGGCAAGGGTCATGGAACTGTTAGGATACTGATGCCATAGTCCAGACTGGCTGCTAAATGTCCAGAGTTTTGCTAATTTAAATTTGTCTTTGGCTTGTATTTTTTCTCATTTTCTTTTTATTAATAGTATTTTCATAGCTCAATTGAGGCTTAATTGACAGCCACAATGTGCACATGTTTATTGTGTGCAGTGTGACATTTTGATATGTGTGGATATTGCAAAATGATGCACACCCTCAGGCTTATTCACATTCCTGTCACCCACTGAGCATTTCCTGTGTGTGTGTGTGGTGAGTGTGTGGAAGTCCACAGTGCATTACCATTAACCGTAGTCCCCTTGACCTTGGTGAGATCTCGGGTTTTGATGGTCATGAAGGATGTCCAGGAGGTACTAACTTAGCCTCTTGCTGCAAGCCTATCTGTTGACGTACAGACCTACCTTTCATGTGTGTGTAGAGCTATGCCAGCGTTCGATCGCACTGAGCGGACTGTGCAACAGGTTCAAAATCCAGTTGTTCAAGAGAAAATAGAGAGGAGTGTGAGGCGCGCTGTGCTTCTGCTGCACCCATGGGCTTCAACCTCTATTATTCCAGAGCCTCCTTCAGAGGTGGCAGTTCTGGGCACAAGGGAGGCAGCGTGTGAGTGAACTGAGAGGAAGGACAGATGGACCACTGGCAAGATAAACTGAAGTCCTGTTCACAGCTGGCCACACTGGCAGGGGGACCCAGGGAGCCATGGAGGTGTGTCTTAGGACTTGGAGGTGAAGAGATGACTCCCCCAAAGGAAAAGGGAAAGCTGGAGGTCCTGCTGACTTGGGTGGATAATAGTCTTCCCCTTCCATCCTCCTTTCCATGTTTAGGACAAGGTCATTATGTGGAAATGGCCCAGAAGGAGCCTCTCTGGGTGGGTGATATGTAAGTTTGGATCTTGACAGCAGGGTGAGAGTTCACCTCAAGGTCATTTGCCAAGGACAAAGAGTCTCCACTGAAGATCAGAGACTGTCTGGTCTGGGGGGACTGTGCAAGTCACAGAGTGGGCAGAACTGAGCCCGGGGGAGCTGCGTCTGTGAATGATCCCTCCCCAGGCCCCCTAACTGTGCCCTCCAACTGAAGATGGGGTTATATAGGTGTAGCTGTTTCTGAAGTGGGGCCCTGGGAATCACCAGATCTGAAGGAAGCAGTGAGTCTCAGGAGCAAGTGGCAGAGTCCTTAGTTCCAGAAGAAATCAGTGTCCCACCTCAGCACCTCCCTGTGGAGAGCCAAGTTTGACGTGGACTCTTTCTGAGTTGTCAGGATTCGGGTTTACTTAAGTTACTCCTGTTTTTCTTCTTGAATAAGGAATTTTTTTTTCTGACGTTCTAGTTTTTTTCATTTGATGCTATTTGATGAACTAGCTAGTTGCTTTAATTCATGATACTGGCATGGGACACATGGCCTTGCCTATGCTAGGGAGGAGCTGTGCCGCTGAGATCTTCCCAGCCCCCACTGGGCGGCAGACCCAGGTTTCTCCTAGGCTCCGTCTTCCCTGAGGAATGAATGACCTTTGCCTACAATGTCTGGTAACAAACATGCTTTCCGGTTCACCTTAGGTAGCCATCAAGGTCATCGATAAGAAGAGGGCCAAAAAGGACACCTACGTCACCAAAAACCTGCGGCGAGAGGGCCAGATCCAGCAGATGATCCGCCATCCCAACATCACGCAGCTCCTGGACATCTTAGAGACAGAAAACAGCTACTACCTGGTCATGGAGCTGTGCCCCGGGGGTAACCTCATGCACAAGATCTATGAGAAGAAGCGCCTGGAGGAGGGGGAAGCCCGCCGATACATCCGGCAGCTCATCTCTGCGGTGGAGCACCTGCACCGGGCTGGGGTGGTCCACAGGTGAGAGCCGGGCACGCTCTGATCCCCGAGTCTGTACTGAGTCGACACTCCTGGCGAGGCTTAACAGTTGCAGCCTCTTCCAGTCTCATGGTTTGGTTTTGTGAGTTGGATAAGGGTTCAAACAGTTGAATTTAAAGCCAGAGTTCCCCAGGCCTGGGTCTTCGCTCTGCCCTTCTCTGAACTCAGCCCATCTGTAAAATGGGAGTGATGATATGTGTCTGTCCAGTGAGCCAGTGTTGGGCCGGAGCACTCACCGTGTTTGGTACACAGGAAGCGCCAGGCAAGGCTTACCGCTGTTCTTAGCATTTCCAAAGGCAGCCATCTTGGTTTCACTTCTCATTGCTGTGATAAAAAAAACCCCGACAAAGGCAACTTAAGGGAAAAAGGCCCCAAATTTTATGTTAGGGTCTGTCACTGTGGAGACATCAAAAGTGGCAGGAGCTCGAAGTGCCTAACGGTTACGTTCATGGCGGTGAACAGAGAGTGCTTGCAAACTGGTTGTTAGCTCACCTTCCCCACACTCACATAGCCCAGGGAATGGTGACGTCCACAGTGGACTGGCTCTTCCCACTAGTCAAGACAATCCCCACAGACATGTTCACAAGCAGAAAAGGTACAGAACAAAACAAACCACAAAACGCAAGGACCATCGCGAGGGGCCGGTTGATCAGATGCCTCACAGAACAGTTGGTGAGAAGATGGCGTGGATGCTTTTAGCTCAGTGATTTCGGTGTGTGTGCCGTCTGATGGCAGCAGCTCTGTAAATGCTTTATTGCATTGCATGGAATCACCGTTCAGATTGTGAACTTGCCCTTAAAATGAGGGGCATTCTCTGGAAGCCCACAAACCTTGAGAATAATTAAGAAAATCAAGCTTGCTTATACTGGCTTGTTCTTGCGGGGGAGGTAGAAAGTGAATGGAGATTGTATTCACTGAAGTATCATTGTTGCTGATGGTGTAAGTCTTTGTATGAAAATGAGTTTAAAATAGGTTACAATGCCCCCACAATGCTTAGTGCTCTTGTAGAGTACTGAAGTTTGGTTCCCAGCACCTGTGTTGGCGGGATCTTTAGCTTCAGGGGATCTGATGCCCTCTATGGGCTCTGTAGACACCACTCACATGCACATCCCCCGGACTACCTCTCACATATGCACATATGTACATCATTAAAAATAAAAATAAAATCTTAAGAAAATGCTGGGCATAGTGGCACATGGAAGCAGGTGGATTGCTCTGAGTTCAAGGCCAGCCTGATTTACATATTGAGTTCCAGGACAGCCAGGGCTACATGGTAAGATGTTGTCTTAAAAGAAAAAAACAAACAAACAAAACCCAAACCCCAACCAACCAACAAAAACCAAAAACAAAGAGGGAGGGAGGGAGAGAGGGAGGGAGGGAGGGAGGGAGAGAGAGAAAGAGGGAGGGAGGGAGGGAGGGAGAGAGAGAGAGAGAGAGAGAGAGAGAGCAGTGTGTGTGTGTGTGTGTGTGTGTGTGTGTGTGTGTGTGTGTGTGTGTGTGTGTCTCTCTCTAATAAGTGTCTGGGTATTTTTTTATTTTTATGGAATTTTATGTAATTGGCTACATTGTTGAGAAAAATTGAAAGCCATTTAACTCATTTTAAAAAGCAAAGTCAAGGCATAAAATGTGCATGTGTATATTTTTTACATGCATACATGTGCATTTAAATGCATATTGAAATGTAAAATTGAGATATAATTATAACATTCACAATACAAAGTACACGATTGGATGGTTTTAAGTATGTTCAGAGTTGTGCAACCATCACTACATCCAACTGTAAAGTAGTTCTCACCCTTACCAAGAAGCCCTGTTGCTGTTGACAGTTATTCACCATTCTTCCATCCCACCCCCTTTTGCTAACTATCCATCTGATGCCTGTCTCTGTGGATTTGCCTGTTCTAGAGAGTTCACATAAACGGAACCATAAAATCCATGGTCTCTTGTTGCTGGTGTCTTAGGCAGCATATTGCTGTTCTGATTCTTCCATATTCTATTAGTACTTCTTCCTCTGCACACTTAAGCCGTATTTCGGTGTGTGGCCACACCATGGTTTATCAGTCTCCCTATCTGCTGATGGACATTTAGGTTGCTTCCACCTTGGGCCATTGTGAATAATGCTTTGACAAGTGTTCACAGTGGAGTTTCCATGTGGCCATGTGTTTCCACTTCTGCTGCTTCTGGGCAATTCTTTTCCTACACGGGGAGTTACTGGGTCTTGTGTTACCTCTGCAGAAACACGTTCTTTCCATACAACTTTGAATGCCGCCTCTTAGCTTTCTGAAAGTCTTTTTTTTTTTTTCTGATCTGTGAAGGACTCCACTTAATAAACACCAGCACTTCTTAGTTCTACAGGGCTGTGCCCTCCCTAGTGAGGTTGGAACATGGGATGCTCTGCCCTGTCATGTCTGAACCCAGGGGCAACTTCAAGGACAAGCTGTCCCTTGTGGCTTTTCTGGGCCGGCCTTGGCTTGCCACCATCAACTCCTGTCATTCCCTCCCTGCCGAGGTGAGGACCCACTCCATAAGAGTAGCCTTGGGCACACACTCCCAGTCAGTCACGCTCCGTTAAAACTCTACTCTAGGTCAGTACGAAGGGAACATTCACACATTTGCCGTGTGTGACCCTGCTTTTGGCCTGTGTGCCCTGCCTTGTCACCCCCTGCTCGTTATAGGGGGACGATGATGGAAAGATGCCTGGCTCCATCTCTGTTTGCCAAGATGACAGAGGCAGAAACCGCAGGGCTGAGTCGGCTTGGACTCCGGACTTCATGGGTCACAGCAGAAAACAGAACCAGGGGACAGCAAGTGGCAGAGTGTTCCACGTGACTCGATGTTTTTTCCCAGGGTTCTGTGCTAAATGAGACAAGTGCCGGGCTTCTCAGGACCGGAGGACAACAGAGGAAGCTCAACTGAGTCCTGTGAGGTGCACATGGGTCTCCCCTACAGGAAGTTCTCACCAGCCCCTCTAACGTAATTTTTAACAAAAATCCAATCCCTCAGTGCACTTACTGTCAGAATGTCAAAGGGAGGAATTTAATAATGTTTTGATAGCAGAGACGGGACGCTTTTAAAAAAGCTCTCATCTCCAGCTTTCTCCCTCTTCCTCTCTCTCCTTGGAAATAGCTTTATAATCCAATACTGGCTAGGGCTCGGGCCTTTTAAAGTTGGAAGAGAACAAGCAGGAAGACAGACAAGTATAGCTTGCTTTTCTCTCTGGAAGTCACGGTGCGTGTGTGTACATGTGTGTGTGCCTGTGTGTGTGAGCGTGTATATGGATGTGTGTGTGCCTGTGTGTGTGAGTGTGTGTATGTTTTTCTGTGTGTGTGAGCGTGTATATGTATGTGTGTGCCTGTGTGTGTGAGCGTGTATGTGTATATGTGTGTGTGTGTGCATGTGTGTGAGCATGTGTGCCTGTGTGTGTGAGCATGTATATGTATATGTGTGTGTGTGTGCATGTGTGTGAGCATGTGTGAGTGTGTGTGTGTGTGTGTGTGCATGTGTGTGAGCATGTGTGCCTGTGTGTGTGAGCGTGTGTATGTGTGTGTGCCTGTGAGTGAGTGTGTATATGTGTGTGTGTGCATGCATGTGTGCAGGAGCACGTGCATGTGCAGGCGAGAGGCTCACAGTTGCTTCTCCACCTTATTTTCTGAGACACTCTCACTCAGCCCGAGCTTACTGGTTGGACTCCACTGGCAGCCCTTCTGTGTCTTCCTCCTGTGACTACAGGCATGCCCCTCCGTGCCTGGCTCTTGTGTGGGTGCTGGGGACTGGAACTCAGATTCTCATGAATATACAGTAAAAGCACGTTAGTGCCTAAGCTATCTCCCCAGGCCCCTGGAAGTCATGTTAGTGTGTGTCCCCATACATGGATGTGGGGGATGGGTTGTCACCATATATTCACATTTTATCCAAATGTCTTTCAGAAATTCCGTGCAACTGACTTTTAACGTTGTTGATTTAGGGGATATCAGCATATTTTTGACTGTCACTCTTTTGGTCCCCATTTTAACAGTTTTCTTTTTCATGTGGTCGTGGAGGAGTGAAGTTCATAAATTATTCTGAGGTTAGATTTTTCAATCGAGTAAGACGAGTTAGCATTTCAGAGAAGCCTGGAGTCTCTGGTGGGAAGACTTTTGAGTGAACAGACTGAACCAGGCAAAAGGGTGGGAAGGGATGCCTAAAAGGCTCTTGGGTCTTTTGTTGGAGGATGCTATAAGCTCTCAGGGTTCCGAGGATTCGAACTTGGTCCTCAAACTCTGTGCATCAAGCGCTTTACCCACTGAGCTCTTGCCCAGCCCTTCTGCCCCCCAGGTCGTTTTATTTTCCTTCCTCCAAAATGCTCTCCCACCAGGTTATCACCACACAATTCACCTCTTGTATGTAGAGCTTGACTCTTAACTTGAACCCACAAGAACACCGTGGTGATGAGAAACTAAGTAACAGATTCCAATCAAAGTCTAGAGACACAGCATTCCAGAGTAATATAATACCACCTGTCCCTAAGCAGGAAGAGACAAGCCACAGGCCTGCAGGGCCAGAGAAAAGGGCTCCGTGATCAAAGGGGAACTGAAGCCCGTGCTCAGACAAGTGTTAACACCTCCCTGTCCAGGGCCTTGACCCTCCTCACTCATCAGCATTGGAAGGTGTCCTCTTCCCTGGAAGGGGACAGCAAGTGGGGAAGAGGGCCCTTTGTTCTCAGGCTGACAAGAAACAGGCACTGCCTGGACAGGTTGCATAAATCCTTTTAACTTTTAGGACTTGTTTCTTAGCAAGCAGAGGCGAGGGGAAGGCAGGTGAGGGGGGAATCCTGTCTGCTCACTTCCAGGAACTGCTGGGGATCCCAGGGCCTTCTGTGGGGAGCCAACATGTCTGTAGGTACTGGCTGTAGCCAAGTTGTATGTGTGGTTGGATCTGAAAAAACAGGGTCGCAAATGGTAGATTTTGCCGTGCTGTGGTCCAGGCTCTTTGTGGATTGACAT